TACATCATTGTGCACCACAACAAGACAAGTGAAATGAATGAAAATTGCATACAAGCAGAGAGATAGAGAGAGAGAAAGACTTACAATGAAAGGATCGAAGCGTAGCGGAGGACTCCATAGAGGAGAGCGAAAGTAAACTCGAACGCAGCGGAGGAGGCGAAAGAAAGTCGAGCAAAAAAGAGCCTCGAAGTTATGCGGAGATATGGAGGCAAAATCGAGAGAGAAGAAAGGAGTTATACTATACTATCCAGTTGTGAGTTGAGATTTTTCTCCGTTTGAAGATGTGAAGCTTTGAAAACTCCGCCCATACTCATAGTTGCTCTGAGCTTCTTCCCTCCGTTAGTTGGGTTATTATCACATGAATGCTGTCCCACAGTTTTCAATATGCGTCCGCAGGCGGCAACTGAGATCCGACCCGCCTGTCTCGTGTTTTAAGAGCCCATTCAAACCATTGGGCTTACGATGAAACTTGAACAAATCCACAAAACCCATAATAATTGATTTTTTATTTATAAAATTAATTAACTAATGTTGGTTCCTAGTTTTATTCAAGTTTATCTTGGCTGTCACACGATCTAGTGTCTGTCTCTGATACCATTTATAACCGCTACAGTTCATCGCTAGTTGTCTTCTTTTGACTTTTTTTTCTTCAAAACGCGTTTGTTACACACTTATAACAATACTTTGTTCCCTCTTCAACTAATCTGAAAAAAAATATAATGAAAAATGTTCAACCATCGTAAAGGTTTCAAAGTTGAAAGTGTTTAAAATTAAAATGGTTTAGGATAGAAAGGGTGTTGATGAACATCCTTAGATATGGTGGAAGGTTGAGGAAAAAAAAATAGGAAAATAATAATGAAAGAGAAAAATAGAGAATAAAAGCGGTGGGGTTCTCAACTAACCATAACAACCAACGAAAATGAAGCTTTGAAGAAGCACAAAAATCAAACAACGTGGTGTAAATTAATTGTATAAAATGAATCTGAAATATGTAAGAAAAGGATTGAAGCTTCTGTTATTTGATGTTGACATAATGCATACTAGGCAGTTCAGCACAGGCTACACCCTGGTTCGTTACACTCCTTTGACTTTATAAATCTGTAACCACCAATTCCAACTTCCCCTGTGCTCTTCCGGCCACTTCTTGGTTACCTAAATATCGAAACAGTTTTATTATCTCATTATTTGGGCTCAGTGTCTAGTATCCTCACTCCACTCATTCTTCTCGTTCACCCAATATGGAATTTCACATCCACGTTGACTAATCAAAAGGAAGATCATGTCCTTTTGATATACTCAATCAATGGGTGCTGCCAACAAGTATACACATCGTAAACCCAACTCTCTGTGAAGCAAGCGTTTGAATATGAAGTCCAGTCTGAAATTCAAACACCCCAGTGGGTGTAACCACTTTTCAATTATGTTGAACTATCTGTTTTCCCCTCTTCTTAATCTCAATCTTTCCCTTTTGTTCAATATCAATACCTAATCTGCCAAACTCAAACAACTTCATTTTCTTTTTTTCCTATATAAACTCAGCTCCCCACCCTTCTCTTCCAATCCATCGTTGCCTTTTTCTTCTTAATTACGATAAAAACACATTGGGGTTTGTGCTAATCAGCTATGGTGGCTGGATCATCGCTCACTCCCAATTGGTTTGCCGTTTTGCTTCTGTTTGCTTCGGCAGCCTTGTCCTTGGCCCACCCACAAACACATCGCCATCAATTTGTTGTATGTTTTTCTTTCCTTCGTTTGGGTTCTGCTCCTTTACTTTCTTCCATTGCTGTTTTTAATATTAAGAACTAAACAATGCAGATTCAAGCCACGCCAGTGAAGAGGCTGTGCAAAACCCACAATGCCATTACCGTGAACGGGCAGTTCCCGGGGCCGACCTTGGAGGTCAACAATGGCGATACTCTCATCGTTACTGTCATCAACAAGGCCAAATACAACGTCACAATTCACTGGTAACTCCTTCAAGAGATTTGTTTTAATATATTCGATTCGACTAAGATAATAATTATTGTTGTTGCAATTGTAGGCATGGGATTAGGCAGCTTAGAACTGGGTGGGCGGATGGACCGGAGTTCGTGACTCAGTGTCCAATCCGACCCGGAGGAAGCTATACTTACAGGTAGAGATAACTCGAAATGATATAATATAAGACTTAGCTTAACTTATAACTAAAAAGATTTAATTTTTGTAACATTATGAATGAATAATGCAGATTTACGGTACAAGGACAAGAAGGGACTCTATGGTGGCATGCTCATAGCTCATGGCTTCGGGCCACTGTTTATGGCGCCTTGATCATCCGCCCTAGACGTGGAGATTCCTTCCCTTTCCCCAAACCGAACCGCGAAGCAATACTTCTAATGGGTAATTAATCACTTTTATTATTTCCTAATTGGTCTTAATCTTTATTATAATCTCTCTTTTGACGATTATTAGGCGAATGGTGGGATGCAAACCCCATTGACGTGGTGCGACAGGCCACAAGAACAGGAGCAGCTCCTAATGTCTCCGATGCTTACACTTTCAATGGTCAACCCGGTGACTTTTACAAGTGCTCTAGCAAAGGTAGCTAAATATATAACAATTTTCAGTTGGGTCTGCTAGGAATCACAAAAATATTGTACACTTCGAACCTAAATTAGTCGAGGACAATCCTGGGCAGGGTCATGACCGATGACACTCTGTTTAATGATTATGCAGATACCGTAGTCGTGAATATAGACTCTGGCGAGACCAATCTGCTCAGGGTGGTGAACTCTGCCCTGAACCAGGCGCTATTTTTTACGGTGGCTAATCACAAACTGACGGTGGTCGGAGCCGACGCCTCGTACACAAAGCCCTTCACCACCTCTGTTCTGATGCTGGGCCCGGGCCAAACCACCGACGTTTTAATCTCCGGCAACCAGGTCCCCAACCGGTACTACATAGCGGCACGTGCGTACCAAAGCGCCCAAAACGCACCGTTTGGGAATACCACCACCACGGCCATTCTCAGCTACAAATCTGCCCCTTGCGCCGCCAAGAAAGGGTGCGCGTCGATCAAACCGATCATGCCATCCCTCCCTGCATACAACGACACCGCCACCGTCACAGCCTTCAGCAAGAAATTCCGCAGCCCAAGACCGGTCCCAGTCCCGACCAAAATCGACGAGAGTCTGTTCTTCACCATCGGTTTAGGACTCAACAATTGCCCACGTAATTTCAAATCGAGCCAATGCCAAGGCCCCAACGGTACTCGTTTCACGGCCAGCATGAACAACGTGTCCTTTGTTCTTCCTTCGAATATCTCAATTCTTCAAGCCTTCCAACAGAGGATTCCCGGCGTAGTCACCCCTGATTTTCCAGCTAACCCACCGGTGAAATTCGATTACACCGGTAACGTCAGCCAGTCACTTTTTCAACCGGTTCCCGGTACTAAAGGGTACAGATTGAAATACGGGTCGAGAGTACAAGTTGTGTTGCAGGACACTAGTATCGTAACCCCCGAAAATCACCCGATCCATCTCCATGGCTACGATTTTTACATCATCGCCGAGGGATTCGGAAATTTCAACCCGAAAACCGATACTAAAAAATTCAACCTCGTTGACCCTCCTCTTAGAAACACGGTGGCCGTCCCCACCAATGGTTGGGCCGTCATCCGATTCGTCGCCGACAATCCAGGTGCTTGGATAATGCACTGTCACTTGGACGTGCATATCACGTGGGGACTGGCGATGGTGTTTCTGGTGGATAACGGAGTCGGACAGTTGCAGTCGATAGAAGCTCCCCCGCCGGATCTCCCGATATGCTAAGCTCACCAAAGCACCAATTTTTGCATACCAATTTAAAGGGCTTTCCTTTTATTATTATAATAATCCTTCAAATTCGAATTAGTTTGTGAATTTTTCTTTATTGGTATTGTTTCCCCTGCATTGGGGGCATAGCATATGCTCTGTTTCACTGTTCTCTTGTATTTTGTTTTTTTCATAAGATATAGTTTGAAATTCAAATTGATATTCGATATGGAATCAATCTATGAACGAAAGTATATGAAATTCCAATATTCAGCAAAAATATCTGAAATTAGACTATGATTTCTCTAATTAAATGCGGCGGCCGAAATGGCGGAAGTTTTAACACTCCTCAACGTAGTTCAATTCGCCACACCATCGATGCCATAAAGAAAATGCTATGTTTACACATCAACCTTCGGAAATGTCATGTAATAGCTCGACGTGGCATTGACTGAACTATACAACGTGGTCCAATCAATTAGCGCAGCGTGGCACGGAATATAATCCAGCTCAAAAATAAGGGCATCATGTTCTGTTGCTAATGGGAGACTATCGTATACACGTACCAACCCACGTGCCGGATGTCGAGGGCATAAGCCCACTTTTACGGGAAAGCTAAACCTTTATATAATAGATTAATATTAGATTATAAGTTTTTGTTTATTTGTTTATTTGTAAAGGTATTTAATAATAATCTTTCGTATATTTAGATTTTATCAAATTAATTTATCTATTACATAATTTAAAACTTAATAATAAATACATTAAAAAAGCAAATTTAAACAAATTATTTAAACTTTTGTTGAGATTATACGTATGATTAGAAAAACAAAAATAAAAATAAAAATAAAAACGGATGATCATTTAACGTTATATGTACCTGTCCAACGCGTGTACGAGTACTTAAAATTTTATTTTCCGTTTCATTTTACGCATTCCCGTCAAGTATACAATTACTCGGCAAGGAAGAGGGAGACCCTTGAGGTCGGGAAACTTCTGGTGCCACGTGCCAGCTGTCAAGATTTATAAAGAGCCACGAAGCGACTAGGAAATCGCCACGTGGACATTATTTTATTAATCCTGAGGCTGAGGATAAATATCAGAAGCATCTAGAGAAGGCTATAAATACCTTTCTCCTCCATTTTCAAGGGAGATTTTAATACTTGTGGATTCCAAAAACAACTTATCTTCTTCGTTCAGAACAATTTTCAGCAGCGAAACTAGCTTAACAAAAGAGGAAAAGAAAAAAGGAAAAAGGTTCAGAGAATTTGCAGAAAAGAAGAGAAGAAATTGCGTGCTTCGAGAGGTGTTCTTCATCTCGTATGACACCAGAGACGATCGAGAGGTTGGTTTCTTCAAATTTCCTTTTCATTGTTTGTAATTATTCGTGTTCTTCTTCTTCTTCTAGTGTCTAGTTGAGTGTGGAATTAATACTTGATTTGCTGCTTTCCTGCATCGAATTGCAATCTCGAATTCTGATTTTGAGTCCTTGAGATTGTTTTTCGGGGTTTATCAATTTGGACGCGGAGTTGCTTAGAAATTAGGTCTCCGGCTTATTCTGGGAGTTTCTTTCTTTCTTCCTCCTCATCAATATTCTACAAAATGTGTCGATTTTAGGAACATCTATATCCCTTCTCTTTCCTTGTTTTAATATTGTTTCAATACTATGGGCTCAAGGAATCTGTGGGTTTTATTTTACTTCTTTTTTCGCCTGATTACCTGGGGCTCAAGAAATTCGAGGGTTTTAATCACACGAAACGCTCTACTTACTTTTTTCATTTCTAGGAAGTTGCAATTGTCTGGGGGCGAACTCATATTTTCACTTGCTAAGCAATCGGCACACTGTTCTCTGATTTCTTCGATTTCAGTTGAAAGTTGTCAAGAAAATGGGTCTCAGTGATCAATATTCTGATGCAATTTCTTTACCTACCAATTCCATTAGGAAGAGGAAGTCACGGAGTAGACGGGATCGATCGACCGTGGCTGAGACGCTCGCTAAGTGGAAAGCTTATAATGAATGTGCTGATTCCTGTAATGATGAAGACAAGCCAATTCGTAAAGCTCCAGCAAAAGGGTCTAAGAAGGGATGTATGAAAGGCAAAGGAGGACCCTTAAATTCACAATGCAAATATAGAGGTGTGAGGCAGAGGACATGGGGCAAATGGGTTGCAGAGATCCGTGAACCCAACAGAGGGAGTAGGCTATGGCTTGGTACCTTCCCGACAGCCATTGAAGCTGCTCTTGCCTACGACGAGGCTGCAAGGACGATGTACGGCGAGACTGCTCGTTTGAACCTTCCCAACATTAAAAACAGAGGGCAGCTACGGGGGATTCTTTTGGAGGATTACTTGGGGCTGCGGAACTCCGATTCTTCAACCGCTACTTCCACATGTTCTGGATCGACAATCACGACGTCGAACCAATCTGAGGTCTGTGTGCCTGAGGAGTTCGCACTGTGGCCACCCTCAGACATTAAGATTGAAGATGGAGAAGGCGAGTCGAGGACCTGGGATCACTCCGGTCATGCTCCGACTACGATGTGCTTAGAGAAGCCAGTGAAGCATGAAGATGTGGAAGCTAAATATCTCGAGCATCACAATAATCAAACAGTTCTACCGGATACTGAGTTACCTAGTTGGGATCATCTGCAGAATTTTCAAATGGACGTGATGTTTGAGCCGAGAATTGGCGATCAGGCCGATGACACTGCGAAGCCAATGAGCATGGAGAAGAAGCAAGTGAAAAATGAAGATAACGATGCTAAACATCTTGATCAGAGAAATGATCAGACAGTCTCATCAGGGACCGAGATTCCTGGTGTGGATGACTTGCAAAACTTCCAAATGGATGAAATGTTCGATGTGGACGAGCTTCTAGGCCTGATAAATAGTGATTGCTTGTATGATCCAAGCATCTTGCAGGGCAATGTAGATGGTTTTAACAGCACAGCACCTTCCCAAGTCAGCGATCACGGGTCTGAGAAGGCATCAAGTTTGTCATATCAGTTCCAGAACCCCGACGCGAAGCTGCTCGGAAGCCTCCAACACATGGAGCAATCTCCGGCGAATGTCGACTGCAGATTTGATTTCTTGAAGCAGGGGAGGGAGGAGGATGTGAATGCTGCAGCAGATGAGTACATAAGATACCTGAATTATGAGATGGATGATATGGGATTTTGAAGAAAAGTTGTGACAGATTAGTAGTTAGAAAAAGAACAAACTTTCTGACCGCTTTGTATCTCTGTTGTGTAAAATATGTTAGTATTTGAAGCTGACAGATTCTCCATAGGTTTTAGTTTGGAGAATATGCAAGTCCCTTCTGATCTTGGGAATCCGTCACTGAGATATTTATAGTTACCATCACTTAGATCTAACTAGCTTATTTCAATGAGTTCAATAAAATTTTGGCTGCATGGCAGTTCGTCGATTCCAAATTATGTTGTCCTGGTTTTCCCCTTGGTTCTGTATTTAGTTCTTCATCCCTCATCGAATTTGGTTCTGGTTTTCCTCTTTTTTTCTGATCTAAATAAAAGAAAGGACAAGTTGTCGGGCAACTTGGACATAGGATGCACCGCGATGCTACCTTTTTCTAACACTTAGTTTCAACTCTTGGGCAACCAACTATAAACATATAATAGCAGCCATTTGATTTCATTCGTTGGCAAAGAAAAAAAAATGATTTTTAACATACTGAATTTGAAAAATTATTAATGGATCAAATACTTCTTTGCATGTTGCAATGTTAAGTCGAGGTCGAGGTCGATGTCGAAAGACAAGTTCAGTTATTGAGAAATTTAGAGAAGGTTTCGTACCCTGCATCGTTCTTTCTCTCTACAACCAATATGGGACCTCACATTTATACACTTAATTTTTTTTAATTTATACATTTGATAAGGACGAGATGGTGGCTGATTAGTCCAAATCCAATTTTATATTTTATATTGTATTTTCTTAATCTAGTGGAGAAAGAAAAACGGAAGATGTGCCTGCATTTCTTTATTAATTAATTGCTTATTGTCATTATAAATACGGAAACTATTATCTAATAATGGAGATAATTTTAATACGAGGGTATCTTTCTTACAAAAACGTCATTAATTAATATCCAATGCTTATTTACATATTATTTTAATTTCTCTAAACTTCCATAATTGGTGCTCATATTCAACATTAAAATATTTGATATATCATTTGGACATTCTGTATACTATTTTTTGAAATAGAAAAGATCGTAAGTTGCTAATAAGTTGAAGTTTGAATTAGAAATATGGTGGATTTAATTGCAGACGGATTCCAAACAAGGGCTTGCAAGTTGCCCATCCCACTTGCAATTCCACGCAACGGCAGCAGCTAAAAGTAAGTTGCTAATAACAGCAAATTTGCCCCCAACTGGATCTCATCGATTCTATTTTACACTTAAATGCCGCTAAACCGAACCCATTATGCATTATATATCACCTCTTTCTTCTCTAATTTATTTGTTTCTGAATCCTTGACCTCTCAGACGATTAAACATGCCGTCGTCTCTTCAATTCTACCGCCGCACCGCCACTTTCAATTGTCATCGCGCATCCATTAACCCAAAACCCCACTTCGTTCTGCCGCCGTGCACGGTCGCCGACCACAACCATGTGGTGGCGTCCCACCAGTGCGGTTCCGTCGTGGTGCAGACCATCGACGCTCCGGTGGCTGTGGTTTGGTCGTTGGTTCGGCGGTTCGACAGCCCACAAACGTACAAGCAGTTTCTAAAGAGCTGCCGAATCATCGAGGGGGACGGCGAAACGGTTGGAACGGTCCGTGAGGTGCATGTGGTGTCGGGTCTGCCAGCGCTGTCGAGTAAAGAGCGGTTGGAGATTATAGACCACGAAAAGCACGTGCTGAGCTTCAGCATCGTGGGAGGTGACCACCGGTTGAAAAACTACCGGTCGGTGACGAGCCTACACGTGTCAGCGGGAGGCGGAGGAACGGTGGTGGTGGAGTCGTACGTGGTGGATGTGCCGCCTGGAAATACAAAGGAAGAAACTTGCGTGTTCGTGAATACGATTGTGCGGTGCAATTTACGGTCGTTGGCTCAATTATCAGAGAACACTGCCAAAACAAAAACGAAAAACGTATAAAATAGGCATTATAATTCTTAATTTGTTTTTTTGTTCTTTACTTTTTGAAATTTATGGAAAAAAATTATGCCCCTTTTTTGTTATTACGTGAAAAATGAAAATGTAAATTCATATATATATTCATACTTGGATCGGATATGGAATACCGCAATTTTCTTCAATTTCCTATGAAATTGTGAAAATATGAATAAATATAGAAATAAATGAAGTGAAATAATTAAGGGTAAAAAGAAATACCAAAAAATTTGGGTTTGAAGTAATTGGGAATTTTGATTAAAAATTGATAATTTATTATTATTATTTATTTATTTTCGATGATCCCGGAAACGTGGACGGAGGGATCTAGAGGGAAGATATTGAGTAGGACCATTGCTGCCCCAGCTGCGGAGCTCAATTGGTGTTCTTCACTCACTACCCAACCAGATATTCAGGCGGTTAACGGCCCCTCTTCTCTCTTAAATTATTTTTACTTTTTTCGTTTCCGATGTTCTTGAAGCCAAGCATATGCTTCCGGAATCTTTTCCTTATCCTTTTTTCAATTTCAATTTCGAATTTTCATTTTAATTTCGTAAGCCTCTGAAAATTCTCGCTCGCCCCACTTCTTCTCTATTCCTGCTGTCAACAATGGCGCAGGCACAGCCTGTGCTTCACCATAACCACCATTTCCCCTTCTCTCTGACTTCCAAAACCTTGCATTTTTCTCTTCGCTTTGCAAGACCTCCTCTCACTCTCGTTTCTTCTCAATCTCCTTCTTCTACTTCTTCCTCGTCTTTGTCGTCGTCGTCGTCGTCTTCTTCTCGTTATGTACATTTACCTCGGGTTTCTACAGCTCCGGTTGATTACGCGCCACCAGCTCCCGAATACGACTTTGAACAGGAGATTGTTAGGCTGAGAGGTCTTTGTACTAAGCTCTCTAAAAGGAAGAGCATCAAGGAGAAGTTGAAAGTGATTGACCGTGATTACAGAGTCAAACAATTCTTCAATTCTCGACGAAACTGGTTCTGTAGGGTTTTGCCTGCGCTCAATTTGGATCCCTACGACTGCTTCTTGCTCAAGTGTTTGGTTGCGGCAGGGCAAGAACATGTCCTTAGTTTAGGGATTGAGTCAGTGGAGGGTGAATTTGAGACTGCAAGGGGTGTGGTGAAGCACGCGCTTTTTTCGCTTGTGGAAATGATTGAGAAGTTTGATGTAAATGGTAATGGTGGTCGTGAGGGATTTGGGAAGGGGGGAATGGTTCTGGAGAAGGAAGAGCTTGGTGACTTGAAAAAGCTCTTAACCAATTTAGGAGAGATTGAAAAATTTTACGATTGCATTGGAGGAATCATCGGGTGAGTTCTCTATGTTCATGTGTTGATATATTCCGATTCTCCAATGATTTTCGAATTACTGTTTGTAATATCAAAATAACATGGCAGATATAAATTACTATTTTGAGAATGCATGTTTTTTTTTTTTTTTTTGCAGGTATCAGATTAAAGTTCTAGAGCTTCTTGCCAGTTCAAAACCTGAAAGATATTCCAAGAATTGGTCTGGCCAAATGAAGCAGGCAATGGATTGTGAATTTTTGAAGATTCATGCACCCAATGGACCTGATCTTTCTCAAAATATAGAATACGCATCTCAAGCAGCATTGTGGGGAATTGAGGTTAGTATTCTAACTTATGAATGGTTAAATAAATATATTGAACTGTGATTGATAATATTTGATTCCTTTTTAGGGTTTACCTGAGTTGGGTGAAATTTATCCTTTGGGAGGCGCTGCTGATAGGCTTGGTTTGGTAGATCCTGATACAGGAGAGTGTCTTCCTGCAGCAATGCTTTCTTATTGTGGCAGGACTTTATTGGAAGGTCTAATAAGAGATCTTCAGGTATATATAACATGTGATCTGATTGATAAAATAATTAGTTCGCATTTAATAATTGGTTGGATATGATAGGTCTCACATGTGTTTAATTTCAACTTGTTTATCCGAAGGCTAGAGAATTCTTGTACAACAAGATCTATGGGAAACAATGCATTACACCTGTTGCAATTATGACAAGTTCAGCTAAGAATAACCACAAAAGGATTATGTCTCTTTGTGAAAGATTTGGATGGTTTGGAAGGGGTCGGTCGAACTTCCAACTCTTTGAGCAGGTTTATCCATCGAACATTTCAGATATGAAAAGACAATATTTCTCAGTTGAATCTTTTTTTTTTTTTTTTTCGGAATTCTAAAGATCTTTAAATCTTACTTTACTTATTTAATACATGTATTTCAGCCTCTGGTTCCAGCCATTGGTGCAGATGATGGATTGTGGTTAGTTACAAAATCTTTCACTCCTTTATGCAAGCCTGGTGGTCATGGTGTTATATGGAAGCTTGCACATGACAAAGGTATCTTTAAGTGGTTTTATGACCAGGGAAGAAAAGGTGCAACGGTTAGACAAGTCAGGTAAGATATAGCTATCATAAGTTGAATTATTTAATTTCTTATAACTGGAGGCTTATACTCGATGTAGACTCTAATGACCTTGTAGTAATGTTGCGGCAGCTACAGATCTGACCCTATTGGCCTTGTCAGGAATTGGTTTGCGGAAAAAAAAGGTAAGCTTGAAGCAGGAAAAACAAATATACTTTTTATTCCAGTATTACAAATAGTAATCAACCGTATTTGATGTTGGGTTATGATCATGTCCCACAATGTGTTACTTGCTGAAGGATTAACTTCAACTTCTGGCTCAAAATTTCAATTCTATGGAAGATGGTGCTGTTCATCGGTCTATTCAAGCCTGTGGTAGCTTGTGATGTCAGTTAATAGCATAAGTTGTATGGACAATATGGTGCAATTTGTACAGTTGGATTCAGTATATACGTTCGATTTTCCTTGGTAGTGGGTGTGTGATCGGGAATACACTTAAAGAGACCTGCATTAACACACCCACAAATCTAATTTTTTATTAGTTTCCAGTTATCGTACTCGTGCATGTTAGAATATGTTGTTAATTATATGACATTAAGCAGTATGCTCGATGCAGTCATTTATCTGTAAGTGATGTATGGTTACCATTAATCTATGATGCACAGAAGGAATGAAAGGGATATGTCTTCTAATATCTCAAAAGATGATTTATGAATTTGTACATTTTTCTCCTCTAGACTTATTGATTATTTACTTCTTGGAAAATTGTACCCTTGATTTGATTGAACTCGTACTGATTTGAGACCTAGTCTATTTCTTCATATCTTCATCATCAGAATTGTATGGGTTGCAGAAACTAGGCTTTGCATCTTGTAAGAGGACCACAGGCGCTACGGAAGGAATGAATGTTTTGATTGAGAGGAAGAATCTTGATGGGATGTGGGAATACGGTCTGTCATGCATTGAGTACACCGAATTTGAGAAGTACGGGATCACTGAAGGATCTCATTCTCCAGTCAGGTGGACGACATCTATCTGTTCAATTTTTTTTGATCCATTAGTCTAATTCAATTTTAGTAATTTGACCTTTTTGTGGAGGGTAGACTTGAGACTGCAATCCTCGTAACCTTGTATGTCTCAAATATGCATGAAAGCTTATATATTTATATATCCACATTTTGGCTGCCATGTTCGATGTTGGTTTTTGCACTTGATATCAGTTCTTTGGTAATCTCAGAAAAAGGGAAAGAAAATTTCTTTTTATAGGTTTGAATAAGCTAACCTTGTTTATTTGTTGTAGTCTGCAGGAGTCGTTCCCTGCTAACACAAACATCTTATATGTGGATTTGCATTCTGTGGAGTCGGTGATGTCAAGTAATAGTGAAAAGAGTTTGCCAGGAATGGTGCTAAACTTAAAAAAGCCTGTTGCATATTTTGACCAGTTTGGAAGAAAGCATAGGTATATGATTCAACAAATAGCTGGTGCTTCATATACTTTACTTGATCAAATATAAAGTGTTGAGTTCTAATGTCAAAATTACTTCATCCAACGGATGCATCTCTCCATCTTCCTGATAAAAACTAATTTTTCTTCATGCACTGTTAGTGTTTCTGGAGGTCGACTGGAATGCACCATGCAGAACATTGCAGATAGCTTCTTTAATACAAGTTCATTTCAATGTTATAATGATGTAGAAGGTATCAATGCTACTTTTTTGTACAATTGTAAATGCAAACATCATTACCTTTCATCTGTCATTTTCCGTGATATCGAACTACATATATCACCAGACATACTGGATACTTTCATTGTGTACAATGAGCGAAGAAGGGTCACATCTTCTGCTAAAAGGACAAGAAAGCATGCTAGTGAGTCCTTACATCAGGTAATGCTTTTTAGTTGATTGCTTATGTGATGGATGATTTTTTAGTGTAGAAATTAGATTAAACAATTCCTGTTAGATGATTGTATTTCTTCATGGCAATAGTGTAGACCTGGACAAAAGTTTTTATCCTAATCTGTATAACCAAGTTCTGGATTTCCTGGGTGGATTATGGCATGAAGTATGTTCGAACCTCCCCATGAGATTTAATGATTGAACCTGAATAGCAGTTGATATATATTTTTTTTAATATTTAAATTTGTGCAGACTCCAGATGGTGCACTTTTGGATATCTTGCGAAATGCACATGATCTTCTTTCACGGTGTAATATTGAAGTTCCTGTGGTACGTAATGTTAATCTTCAATCTGTGGAATGTATTGTACTGTGGGTTTTAGCTAGACGCTAAAGAGCTGTTTAGACATCTTTTATTTATTTCTTTTTTCCTTCTAATTTTTGTAGATTAACCTTTTAAAAAAATTTCGAATTCTAAAAGCTGTTTAAGAAAATATTTTCTATCTTCTGTCTTCATTTATTAGTTTACAGATATAACACATTTGAATCAAGTTATACTTGGAAAAGAAACAGTTAATGATTATATAATAACAATAATATTTAAAATAAACATGAAGGCTGTTCTAGGAACTGATTACACAAATTATCTTACTTTTAAACGTCTTCTAAACAGACCCCAAAATTGCTTTACTCTTTCTTTCTGCTTGGAAGCTATGACTTCATAATGAAATATCTTGTTCTATTTCCGTTCATGCTTAACTAATCCTTCCTATGACAGGTTGAAAGTAATGACAAGTATGTTGATTCTGGACCCCCATATCTCATACTTCTACATCCAGCACTGGGCCCACTTTGGGAGGTTGCTAGACAGAAGGTAAGAGTTTCAGTATCTGATTATTGAAACCATCACTTTTTTGGAATGTGCCTCTGCCTCTGCCTCTCCCTCTCTCTGAAATAATATTGGCTACGCATTCCTTCCCCTCTATAATTTTGAGGTTTGCCTGCAGTTCCCAAGTGTAGTGTTGTGTTTCTGAAGTAAACAACACTTTTGAGATATGTAAATGATCTAACCTGGTTTGAGTAGGTATAGTTTTTCAGCTGTATATTCACTGGTGATTGTAACCCTATTTGGATATATCATATCTCAGTTCTCTGGTGGTTCGATATCAAAGGGGTCTGAGTTGCAAGTTGAGGTTGCAGAGTTCTTGTGGAGGAATGTTCAGGTATGATGCCCGATTCTAGCTGGGAATAGATTGCCCTTACACAAGTCTCTCACATATTCTTGCGCACCAAGGACATACACTAGTGAAGTGAATTAATGAAGCTGATCTAGTTCTTCCGATTCCAGCTTGATGGAAGTTTGATTGTATTGTCTGAAAATGTTATGGGCTCATTGAAGATCGATGAAAATGGTGAATCATTAATCCGCTATGGACAAAGGTCTTTATAATTTTTGCGTTATAATTTTTTTTGTTTGAGAATTATTGTTTTGGTTCTGAGCAAGTTCATCTGGTTAGGTGTGGAAGATGTAAATTGGAGAATGTCAAGGTGCTGAATAAGGGAATTGATTGGAATGCTGAAGACAATATTTACTGGAAGCTTGAGGTGCAGCGGCATGAAGGATGCAAGATCATTTTGCATGGAAATGCTGAATTTGAGGCAACGAATGTTGTTTTACAGGTCTGTTCATATATGAATACAGTATTCAGCTTCCATAAACCGTACGGATTGACACATTTACTTCTTGGAGGAACTGGGAGTTGATTAAGACCTAATTACAATCTTGTAATAACCCAAGCCCATTGGTAGCAAATATTGTCTTTTTTGGACTTTTCTTTCGGGGCTTTCCCTCAAGGTTTTTAAAACACGTCTGCTAGGCAAAGTTTTCCACACCCTTATAAACAATGTTTTGTTTTCCTCCCCAACGATGTGGGATCTCTCAATACACCCCCCTTCAGGGCCCAGCGTCCTCGCTAACACTCGTTCTCTTCTCCAATCGATGTGGGACCTCCCAATCCACACCCCTTCATGACCCAGTGTCCTTGCTGGGACACCGCCTCGTTCCACCCCCTTCGGAGTTCAACATCCTCACTGGCACATCAGCCGGTGTTTGGCTCTGATACCATTTGTAATAGTCCAAGCCCAATGTTAGCAGATATTGTCCTTTTTGGGTCTTCCATTTCGAGCTTCCCCTCGGGGTTTTTAAAACGCGTCTACTAGGGAGAAGTTTCCACATCTTTATAAACAATGTTTCATTCTCCTCCCCAACCAAAGTGGGATCTCACAAAACCCATACACATACAAGATTTACCGATAGCTATCTACAGATGGAAGGATTATCTGCTTTATTGGTGTCAAACATAATTATCTGACCATTGAAAATAGAATTGCTCGTGCTCTGCAGGGTAATCATGTATTTGAAGTCCCAGATGGCTACAAATTGATAATTGCACCAGGAACTTCAGGTAGATTCTACATCTTTTCTATTTTGGGGGAAACTGTATTTTTTCTGTTTCACATTAGAGTTGAACAGTTCCAAAAGTTGAGAATATGCAATATCTCCCTCATCTTTTTATCTTCCAAATTCTCAGGTTTTGAAGCTCGATTATATCCAATCGAGCATGATAAGCAGGATACTGGAAGTTGGTGCTGGAACTACAAAATAGAAGGTTCTCATATCAAGCTGGAGTATGTGGAGCAGTAGGTTCCCTACGAAATAACTCAACACCATGCCCTTTGTGAATGATGGTTCACAGATGGTCTTCTTCATAATAATGTAGCGGAACAGATCAGTTTGGTTAAACAGAACTTAACCACTCTCATCTACCCACCCCTCACCCCTCAACACACAAAAAAATAAAGAAAAAAATATAAAAAACTCCTGCAATTTTTTGCATTAATCCTGTAAATCGAATGTATGAAGTGGATGCCGAGCCAATGGAATTCTTTATTGTTGAACAGTTAAACAAAACTGTGATCGCAATCTATTAACTACATAAATTTAATTTCAATTGAAAAATTCACCATTTCCACGAGTTTGCACAAATATATACTTCTGCAAGATTATCTATACATTCTGCATTTCAACATGGCTGAGAGATTGAAAGCAGCATCTGTTTAGCAGTCTAAGCAATGCATCGGCTTTTCTTCTGGCCTTCAATGATCCATCTGCGGCCAAGCTTTGTAGAGAAGGGATACTTCGAGGATTTAGCAACAAGCGCCTTGCAACTTCCTCTCCTCCATCCTTGCACAGCCCCAATAACAGTGTAATTGAACTCTCTTTCCCTTTTGGAGATCCAAATCTTAAAAGATCAATGAGCGAAGGCACTAAAACTCTACTGTTTCTTATCTCCTGCAGCCCTTCTGAGCAACCCATAACCAGGGAGAGCGCCTGCAAGGCTTCATCTGTTATGCCTGCCTTGTCATCTGTTAGCAAGTCAATCAGCAATGGCACTGCCCCAGCAACTACGATACAAGCTTTGTTGGCACCGTAAAGTGCTAGATTGCAAAGTGCAGTGGCGGCATCTCGCTTCCCGACTGGATTGCCTTCCTTCAGGAGCCTCACCAATGCCGGTATGGCTTTCGGACTCGCCCCTATTGTTATTTTGAATTCGTCTACCATGGTTAGGCTAAATAGTGTTGCTGCAGCATTTTCTCTTGCTTCCACTGTTTTCCCTGATTCTATGATGTGTGTTATGTTGTCTATCGCCCCTGCTGCCACTATCAGGATCTTGTTGTTGTTGAAGATTGCAAGGTTGAACAATGCAGTCACTGCATTCACTTCGATCCTTGGATCACCGGATTTCAACAGCGTCACCAGAAACGGTATCGCTCCTGCTTCGGCAATCATCCTTCGGTTATCCATTCCACTTTTCGCTAGTAACCGGAGTTCATATGCAGCTTGTCTTTGAATATCTGGTGACCCTGTTGCAAGTTTTCCCACCAGAAACTCGGCTGTCATTTTGACAGTGTCGGAAGCTGCTTTGGATGCAGAAATGTGATCGATCGGTTCTTCAGAAGGGTAACTTTTTCTGTTGCTTCTCTCCAACTCGTAGGAAGAAGAATATGGTTTTTTAGGTTCATTCATACTAATGTTGTTTTCTTGGCACCACTGTTGCATCAAACTCTTGAGTGCATAATTTGGTATGAGGGCCATATGAATTAGCCTCTGATTACTCTTGGGACATACATGATGCCCTGAGTCAATCCATTGGGCTATTGAATAACGATCGTAAGTATGTCCGGACGATACAATTACAGGGTCTCTCATGAAATCTAGTGAAATGGGGCAGCGAAAATCATCTGGAATTGGAACCAATGATTTAGAAGAAGATGAATGATCTAAATGCTTGTTTGAGTGTTGAAACTGTAAGTTGAATGTTTCCTCAGCATTCTCATTTTCTTTCTTACTGAAGATCACTGTTTTGGAATGCATAACAAGAGAGATGAGATTGTTTATGTTAGAAACCACAGTTATTCCACCTGCTCCTGCTTGTTTAAAGGCTTCTGCCTCTAGTTTTGATATTTCTTCATCACAATCCATCAGGCTTCTCAGCCCAACACTACTGAAAATCTCTTCGACTTTTCCCACTTCTGCCAAACCTTTGTTCTTGTAGTTCCTCTCCTTGTTTTTGCTCATTAGTTGAACAAGCTCATCTCTTCTTTGAATCTCTCGAGCATTGGCTGAAAACTCCAATCGCTTAGCTTGCCTGTGAAGAAGCTCCACCTGTTCTCTCGTATCATCTGTTAATTTAAGCAAGCTGAGAGGAAAAATATCAAGTACCCTCCCAATCTCCTTCACTAGCTGATAAAACTGATTGGAAATGGTCTCAGTCTGTAGTAAGCTCCATAGACAGCTTCCTTCCTCGCAGCTTTGAATCAGAATCTTAACTCTTCGGATTACAGAAAAGAGTTCAGTGAGACAAAGAATGGAAGATAGAGGAAGAGCACAATTTGATTCTTGAACCTCTTCAAATAAGAAAGCAAGGAGCTTGATTCTTCTTCTCATGGTTGAGATAGTCCTAGCCTGCACAAAAGGAGAGTTCTCCTCAAAGGCAACTTCATTGGATAGAAGAATTAATGATTGCAGCAGAGACCCAGAAGGCAAAAGGCCTGAAGAAGCTGCCATTATTGGGGAAAGAGCAACGTCCATGGCCGTTCTCACTCCATGAATAGACTCTCCATTCATAGAGTTTATCAAGATTACATTATGTCAGACATAGATTCCTAGGGGGAAAGCTTCAAAACTCCTTCAAACCTGAAAATTATTAAATTCATTGGAAGAGTTTTGTGTTTTGGCAGTCTCTGTTTGTTTGGCTGACTGTATGGACAATAGGAGAACTTCTGGGTAGCTGCCACTTGGAGCAATTTCCTGCCTCCTCAAAATAGTCAGATCCCCAACCAATTTTATATCTTCAAAACTATGCATTACTTGCACCACACTAACTTTGTCAAACTATATGCAGGTGGGTTGACTTTTCTAAAGTGGGCTTCAAGAGAAAAGCCCAATGATAAAGCCCAACTTCACTTGTCTCTTCATTATATGGGTCCTACAGAAATGTTGAGTCGTACAAATGCAGTCCAAAGTAAGGGGGCCTACGCAAATTAGTGGAAGAGGAGGAAAGCAGCATAAAGAAGAGTTACAGTAAACCACACCAAACAGAGACCGCAAATTCAACATCCCCCAACCATGCTCTGTTTTTCCATTTTCCAAACAAGCCATTTCTCTCTGTTTTTTGAAACTCTGCTTTGGGGAAAACGACGACCATTCTTTAACAAGTGGGTTCTGGGAATTCCATTATCGTCCTTGTCCAACACTTTGTTTGATGGGATTGTTTGTATCCCTTCAGCACTTCCTTTCACTCGAGCAAGCACCCCTGTTCCTGTATTGTACCAGTCTTTTGGCAGCTACACCGACCACAAATATGATGTCTCATCCTAAGTTCGGAGCACAAATAATGGCACCCCCCCATGTTCTTTAATTCCCACTTCTCATAAAACTATTTAAAGTGTTTCTTCTTTTTCCTTGAATACTCTCTTTCAAGCTTTCAATCCTGCATTTACTCTTCACACCCCACAACCAATTTAGGCCCCACCCCCTCTATCGCCTCATCTTTCACTTACTCCCCAACCAATCCTTTATATGTATATAAATACACATCCTCTGTTGCAAAGAATATGAATATGATATTCTTTTTTATTGACATGATGAAGGAGCAGCCATGAGAGGTTGCCATGAGACTCGCTCTTCTTCTTCTTGTGCAGCCTGCAAATTGCTCAAGAGAAGATGCACTCCCACTTGTATATTTGCGCCTTATTTTCGGTCTGATGAGCCTAAGAAGTTTGCTAAAGTTCATAAGGTTTTTGGGGCCAGTAATGTGAGCAAGATTCTGACTGAGGTGCCTGAGGAGCAGAGAGAGGACACTGTGAACTCTTTGGCTTATGAGGCTGAGGCCAGGCTGAGAGACCCTGTTTATGGCTGCATCGGTGCCATAGCTCTGTTACAGACTAAAATGGTGGAGCTTCAACATGATCTTGCCATTGCCAAAGCTCGCCTTGCTCGTTATGCTGATTCTGATCATAATTATAACACCTTTTCTTCTTCTTCTTCTTCTTCTTCTTCTCCTTCTTCTTTGGGTGTTTTGGAAAATTGTGTTGTTAATATGCCTTATGGTGGATTGAGCATCGCTGCAGGGCAGAGCTCTTCCGCAATCACCCAATATGGATATTTATGTGACTTCACCCACTTTCCTTATCCATTTAAAGCTTGAAACTTTGAACTCTCTCTCTGTCTCTCTGTCTCTATCATCAGGGTTTGATGAAGAATTTCATTTTTTTGTTTCTGTATAAAGAAGCCCAACTTGATTGTAGTTGAGAATTTCTGTTATGATATTCGATTGTACGAGCATATAAGTAGAGTAAGCAGTTCATGATATGGTTATAATTCTCATAAAAAGGAGAAAGAAGCATTCATGAAGGGCATCCATGGGAGGGATGGGATTGCTGGTTGCAGGTTCAATGAAAGAGGAGCTTTGAAATAGTAAGATTGGGAGTTGTGGTCGTGGTCTGAAAGTATTATGATTGGGCCAAGAAATATGAGACTGGGCCCGAAATCCCGTTGGGCCCTCCAAGCCCAGATCTTATCTTCTCAGCTCTCATTAATTTGAAAGGAAAACAAAGAATTAAGATAAGCACATTAACTAGGATCGACAACAATGCAAGAAAATATCATGCTACCTCAACAATACAACAACAACAACTTTCGTTACCGCGGTGTCCGTCAGCGTAGTTGGGGCAAATGGGTCGCCGAGATTCGTGAGCCCCGCAAGCGCACCCGCAAGAGCCTCCGTACTTCCTCCACCGCTGAAGACGCCGCCCGTGCCTACGACCGTGCCGCCATCGTGATCTACAGTTACCGAGAACAACTCGATCTCCAATCCACCGCCTCCGCCTTCTCCTCCTCCTCTATGGCCTCCTCTCTCCCCGTTATGCCCTCTCCGCAATCCTCTTCCTCTTCTAATTATTAAGTATTGTTTTCTTAGATTTTTTTTCTCGACGTAAAAATTTAGTGTCAACCAATTTAAAACATAATACTAAATTAAAATAACAAAAATACGTATATTTTTTTTTTTTTTTAAATAATTTAAATTACAAACCTCGGTTTCTAGCCATGTCTTTTGTAGCATTGGGCCATTTCGATGAGTTACAAGGCCCAAAAACGGCCCGAAGTGGCCCATTAAAATTCAACTTTAAATTAGGGTTTTGTTCGCGTGTATATAAATCCGAAGCCGTAGCATCCAGAACGTAGTCGTTCCTGTCACTCGCCCCGTCTGCAGGACCATTGTTGTTCTTTGGCGATCGGTTAGCAGGTCTTCGACATGAGGGCTAAGGTTAGCTTCCAAGCATTGGCATGGAGTATTTTTTACTCGTATTGCTTGGTTCCTCGATAAATATCTTTTGTTGTTTTGTTTTTCTTTCGATGAACAGTGGAAGAAGAAGAGAATGAGGAGATTGAAGAGGAAGCGCCGAAAGATGAGGCAAAGATCCAAGTAGTTCGTGTCTGATTTAAATAAAAAGAGAATCGTTCTTTTAGTCGTTACTGATCTAGGACGAGTAATAGTTGAATTCTTGTGTTTCTGTTGGATTTTTATCGAGTTTTTTTTGGTTTCAATGTGCAATTTTGTTCGACTTATTCACTCTGAGATCTACATTATTGAATTCACTGTCTGGAGTTTTTTAAACGTCGGTTGATGGTATGTTTGTTTTCCCCATTCATTTCTAAAGTTTTATTTCGCGATCCAATCATGAAACCGCAACCTAAATTGCTTGTCAACATGAACGTATTAGCATGACCTGTTCTGGCATTCCATTGCTGCAAGCATGTAAACGCTAATTGATCGCGTTTAAGATTGGAGTCGATCCTTCCTGCTTTATTACCCTTAGAATATGCTGATCGATGTCAAAATAGCTTCTGTGTAGTGTTCTAGCACTCGGCAGAAGATTACTTTGGGCCAATACAACCGCCCATTAGTTTGATTAATTTTATATATTCGTTAAGTGTATAATTAACCTTAGAAGTGGAAATGCCGGGACTATGTTTTGTAACAGTGTTCATATTAGAAAGAAATACAAGGTTGGACAGGATCAAGCTAGTATGGCATAAGGATGAATAACAATGTTTTCATTCAACGCCTTCTAATCATAGGTTGATATCAAACTCTCTCGACCATCTCTCTGGTCAGTTGTGAAACCCCAATTCAGATTAGAGCCTTTTTTTAGCACTGGCAAATGAGATGATGGGTTTGTTGCTTATATTGCGTCAGGATGGATGCCATTATTTATTCATCTATGCATGTTTCTCCAACTCGGGATAGCCGATTACTTCCCTGTTTTCTATTCGGTTAGATTCAGTTTTGGTAATGGAGGAAAATTCATTTCTTATACGTTTGTAAAGACATGAAGTTCGTTTGAATTTTAAATTTTATACTGATGTTCAATCCAAATTGTTCAATTATGAACTACAACGAGGTTCAATAGGCACCATTTTAGCTAACATTTTCTTTACCAATCAAAGTGGATATTTACTGATACGTTCTTAAGAAGTCTTATCTGCATTGCTGCAAGAAAAAATGAACTCGATGAGATGTGTTGAACGAACGTTCATATGGATTTTTCCCAATCTATTTCTGTTTTCCAACTATGAGTCTAACAGCAAAGCTCCCTCTTTTCACATGAGAGACGGTTGTTGCTTTGCTGCAACAGCTTCAATTCTCCATAATCTTTCTTCATGAAGCTCTGGTTTTTACACTCTTAAATCTTTTTCTCTATCCATAGTGATTGTATTGTAGCATCACTGTCGCTCAATGGAGCCGTTGTGGGCTGTTCACAATTAAATTATTGAAGAAGAAGAAAGATCACTTGGAATAATGAGAAGGGAGGAAGAACCTCTGTCGTTTACTTCTAATACGATAGGTCGAAGCACTCGAGGATGATGACAATCGACTTAAAACCAATTTAAGAGACTGCTGAACAGTGTTTAAGCAGACACTTTTTTCACCATCTTTATTGCCAAGGACAAGTATGCTTTTAATGCGGCCACCAACACTAGCCATATCAGCCCTTATTGTGGTGAGCCTCAGCCCCTTGATCACTTGGATGAGCTCTGTGAACAGTTCTGGCCGATCGTCGCAGCTCACTGATACCTTTATCTCAATATTGTTCCTGCTGTGGTCTTCAACCATGGTGGAGTCGATTGTTACTTCATCCATGTCCGTTGGAACTGTCATGTTCTTGCTGGCTTCCATTGCTTTTCGCTTCAGATCTTTCACTTGATCGATCGCGCTTCCCAACAGAGCTGCCTTATCCATCTTCCATACAAACAAAGAAGATGAGTCTCTGAGCATGGGATCTGTTATCTACTAGGAGAATGGAAAAGTAGATACTTTTTGCTATGTTCAGTGTTTCTGGTCATCCCAGTTAGAAAGAGAGAGGTAGAGAGAGAGAGAGAGAAGAGTACCTTATCAGATTTGGGAATGAGTTTCCGAAGGGTTGCAAGCTGAGCATTGATCCTGTCCCTACGTCTCTTTTCCGCTTGGCTATGGCTCTTGGAAGCAGAAGCTGCTCTGTCTTCTCCAATAATTCCTTCTACTGGAGTCGAAAACGAAGGGAACCCATCAATCCGAAGCTCTGTTGAGCTTGAAAGCTGAGGATTAATCATCCATGGAAGACGCAGAGAAGGTTCACGGCTTGAATCTAGCCCCTCAGGCTTAGTGGACGAATCCCAGTTATCCTCCATGACAGATGCAAAAGGGGAAGCAGGGCCAGTCTTCTTAAATCCGTCTCAAAGTTTAGTTTTTATGGTTGCATCTGGAGAGCTACTGTTGATTGCACTAATAACAACAATAATAAAAATAATGTGTGTGATCTTTATATCTTGATGGTGATTGGTGTGATGTCCAATAGCCTTTAATTCGTCAAACCGAAAATCATTTTTGGCTGTGTATGGCTGTCGTTTCAGTTTGAAGTTTCCGGTTTTCCCTCTGATAAAGCTAAGCCTCCACGATCTGATCAATTAAAGATTGTCCTTATGTAAAACCATTCCCACTAAATTTAAATCATTATTTTCAGCAAAGAAAAAAAAAAAATGAAACATAGCCATAAACAGAGCACACCAAGGAACTCGACTAATTGTTGGATCTAACGAGATCCCAATCCCATATTGCCCTGGAAACATAGGCAGATCCAAAGGATCTTTGATTTTGGGATGAACTATCACAGAAAATTTCCATCTCCATACAGAATCAACTCCGACCCATTTGGACTTATGGCAAGTTCTTTTATGGGTTTGCGTCAAAAAACCTCCTTTCCCTTACAATCCTATCTATACACTATCACTTTAGTACTCTAAAATTCACAGTACTGTGGTTTTAAACATAGGATCTTTTTTTCTCTTCCCCTTCCAAGATAAGGTCATACAGATTTATTATGAAAAGAATATCTCGAGACATAAAAATAGAAAAACAACCGAGACTGAGAGTTTCAGGATATAATACTGAATATTTCCATTATGGAGGCTGAAAATGGAGCCCAGCACTTTACACTCCATACCAACAGGTCCTCCATGTTTCCAAGTAACTTGTGCATCTTTTTGTAGGCAACTTTTCATGTAGCTTTGTGGTTGTGCCTGTTAACAGTTACAGTCGTGTAAAAGATTAGAAAGAGGGAAAGAAGAAACCCTCAAACAACTTTACCAACTAAAGCATCTTCGCCTGAGTAGGACTCCCAAAGAGAGAGAGAGAGAGAGCCTTACCTTAGCGGCTTGTTCAGAAAGAAACTCGGTGGTCTTTGTTGACAGAAGAAGGAAACAACAAAGCTTGAACTGCAATGCAAAAAGGGGGGCCATAATGTAGGGCCCCGTTTGGCACAAACCATGTAATTGAATGTATTAAAGATTGATACGACTTCTGATCAACTACTCGAAATTGCAAAAGTCCCATCTCAAAATCATGTGGGGGCCATAATTTCCCGTCTTTTTGCACTAATTTGAAGAGAAGACGAGTGTGGGGGGTTGCTTCAGGTAGATGAGAAGAGAGTGTGGTGTGTGGATGGGGATTGGGTTGAGACGAATAATTTCGTCGGCAACAGACATACAAGAAAAATGTGCCAAATAATAATAATAATAATAATATAACTCCATCAACGTGTTCCTGTCCACCATATAATTGACATTTCTTTCGCAGCCGCATCTATATAAAACTTATGTGAACAGAACAAATCACTGTTTATTCCTGTACGTACTTAAGTTATAATAAACTCATAATTCTCAACCCTCAAAGTTGATTGAAAGAATTATTCACACCAGAAGTGGTACGAAATGAAAAGCATCACTCAAAGAAGACCGATGAAACACGGTAACCAAACAAGAACTAAGTATACCCATCAGCAATAGAGGGGCGGGGGAAGGAACCCAAGGAAAAATGAAAATCTATGAACTTGGTTTTTATCATCATTTAAAGCAGCATTTCCTAATGAAAGGCCAGGCTACAATGGAGGAAAAAAAAATTCTTAAAATACAGAACCCTCAGGTTGCTGCCCAGCATCCAAAAAAATGCCTGCACTAACAAAAGAATATTACAAGACAAGTCCACAACACTATAACACAGGAACAGAACGACAAAAATTCGAGAATTATTCACCCGTAGAAGAAGAAGTGGGGGAGAAGCATAAAATTAAAGTAAGAAAAGCCCCCCATTTGTTGCAGGGTTCAACTCTCCCTAGAATCTATGGTCGATTCCCGCATATTTTTACTAGGTTTTTCTATTTTTTTAATAGCTGCTACCCATCGGTGGCATGCCGAAAGGTGGCATTGGTGGCATTCCCAATCCACCCATTGGTGGTGGTGGAGGCGCAAAGCCTGGCATTCCTGGTCCCCCTCCCATACCAGGCATTGGCGGTGCAGGCAAAGCAAGAGGCAGCAACTGAGCATACATGTTCTGCGGTTGAAGCTCACAATCAGAATACAGAAAGAAACATTGAACAGCTGGGATGATGCAAAGGGGCAACAAATTGATAAGAGGCTGACATAAAAACTGAGGGATTTACCTGCTGAGCAATAACGTCATTCTCTTCCTTCTCTTTGGCCTTGACCTCTTTCTGAGCCTCAATCTTGTCCTTCACAAGCTCATCAACCTTTCCTGTATATTCTCTGATAAACTGCAATATAAAGAAAAAATTTCAGCAGGTCACATACTACTATGTTATGTAGATAATCATATTTTTCTTAACAATAAAGACTAACCGATGACAAAGGCCACAAGAAATCTGTAAGATCTAACTGAACTTAGCTGAGCAACAAGCATTTGTGGATAGTTTCCGAAGGTATGTTAGGTCAAGCTTCTAAATAAGCCTCAATTTTTCAAGCTTGGTGTTGGAAAGTCTAGGTTTGTGTCATTTATGCTAAGATTGTGCAATAGAATGAGTTAGAAACTAGGGTTTGGTGTCGTCTGTATTTGTATTTGATTTATGGGTTTATGATCAATTAAAGTTAACGAGTCTTTTTTTAATAAAAAAAACAATTTCATTGATGAAAGTTATAATATGAGGTATAATAACAGGTAAATTTCCCAAGTATAGTTTTCTAACTTGGTATACTATAAAGTTTAGAATGTGAGATTTGTAAGCTCATAGGCCAGAATATGAAAACTTCCTATCCAAACATAGCCTTGACTCTTTAACCCTAGGTTACACAAACAAGAACTGTGAGCCAAACACCCCAGATATGCTGCTAGGAGGAAGACAGCTAACGGCTTAACTTGGAAGATCAATTTCATCAGAACCAAAACCCAAGTTCCAAAGTTCCCAGAAAACATTGGTGGAAACCAAAGAATCTCCAGATTTAAAGTCCTACCAATAAACCTGGATAATAAAAAGTGGTATGAATTAAGACAAGTCACCTGCAACAGGTATGGGAAAGCAAAGTCGATCATGTTGTTGACCCAGGCAAGTTCAAGAGCAACATCTGACCGAATCAAGTCATAACAAACAAAGAGGCATGAAGCAAAGCATTCTTTCTTTCCCTGCACAGAAACCATTTATAAAAAGATTAAAACTAATTTCATTTGCCGACTTTCTGAGTACAGAAAATGCTACATACATAGCAGAGCTAAAAAGCAAGAAATCATATATGAGATCAAGGCCACCTCCACCAAGCACCAAGCGACCCACGTTCACACAAGTAATAAAGGAAGTGCTTTTACCCGCATCCCAGATACAAGAATTTGATCTATTTGACCCAATTGTAAAAATTGGATTTTCTGTTACTCAATTGTGGATCTTGTAGTGAAAATTTTAGATCCAGGTAAGTCCAAAAAAAAAAAAAAAAAAAAATTGAAGAGCTTTGTTTCACATCCAGCGAGAACAATTGAATGCTGACATATTTTTCAATTATTGGATCTGCAGTTACTTTAACCTTGTGGCTCACTCTTAGCAATTTAACATTCAATATTTCAAAATTTTGCGTCAAAATGCATGAGCATGCTTGTTTAAACAACTAAAAATATCAAACATACTTGTTCGATGAAGTAAACAAGCAACTCCTCGGCAAGTTCACGGTCACCAGATTGGGATGCTGTCTCCATTGCATCCTTGTAGAGATTGTCTTTCTTTGACAAGGCAATGGATTGCTTCCATCTTCCGGCTTTTTTGTATATGTAGGCTGCAACACGTCTCATTTCAAGTAACTCATGCTTCTCGATCTGCACAAAAACACATCATTAAACTTTTGCAACAAGATTTATTACTCATCCAACTGGAAAACATCACTCACCTTCTGTGCAAGGCCTATTTGATCAAAATTATCGTGCAAATCAGTTGATTCACGCAATCTATCATAGTCTTCCTCCTCAACATATATTCCATTCAAGGCCTCATTCACAGCAGACACATTGTTGCTCTGAACTGCAATCATGTATGGCTTCACAAGCAACAAGTGACCAGCCTAATATCCAAGAGAAAGGAATGCACTCAGCATCAAGAGCCAAGACGACTACCAAGTAAGAAATCAATAGAAGAAAAAAAAGGGCTCCGAAGTATAACCTTCCTCATAATATCAACAACTCGTGTGTGGTCTACACGAAGTGCAAGCACATTAAGAAGATCGTTAATAAGATCAGGATGCTCTTGCAAGTAGAAATGCACAGCCTTGTAATACAATTCCACATTAGCAACTTTGACAGCAACATCTTTAAACTGCATGTGATCCCATGCTTCGGGAGAATGATTCATGATGGTAGTTGCAGCATTATCAAATTCATCATACTGGATATACAAATAGGTAAGTTCCTTCCAATGCTGCTGTTCATCACAAGCTCGTATAAGCTTGGGAATATTCAGCCGAGTTGAGAACAGTTTGATATGCTCCATAAGCTTCTCATGGCGGTATCTAGCATACAAAACTCCCAACTCAGTGAAGATACCCATATGAGCACGCTCAAGCCCCAGTCCACTCTCCATTAGAGAGATTAATTCATTGAAACATCCTCTATTCTGATAATATTCACTGACCTCTTCCAGATCATCCACCTATTCATTGAGGCACCACAGGATGGTTAATCAATTACCAAGTCACATCACACATCACAGTACAGTACGGGGGAAACATAAGCATATAAAAAACAGCATCCCTAGGAATTCAAAATAGATATTGGTTTTTACATCTTTGTACACAGGCACATCCTAGGAGGTAAAAGTAAAATAAAATGAGGAGATAAGAGATAGCAAAAATTAAGCAGGTTGAATTTGATTGTAATGCTCACCTGGATAATAATGTTAAGACCACATATTTGTGCCAAGCGGAATTCTTCAGCATCAACACAAGAAAAGCACACTTCCTTCCATGTCTTTGCACTGTTTGCTTTTCGTGCTGCATCAACAGCACCTTGGAACTGTTTCAGTTTTACAAGAGTGACAGCCAATTTGGCCCAGTTAGATATGAAGCCAAATATAATTTTAGCAGCCTCATATAAGGCTTCATCATACAACCGATCGCCAACATTTTGAAGATTAGCCACATTTGGCATGAGAATAAATTCTTCAATCTCAGTCAACCGATCAATTTTCGCATAGGCATATATGAGCTCACTGTCCACCTTGGGTTCTTTAGCCTTCTCCCTAACCATCAAAAGGTACCTAACCAGGTCATGATACACATTTGCATCCTCAGCGGCACGAATGACTTCCAGAAATTGAGTGGCATCATCTGCACGGATAAAAGACTCAATAGCATCGCTCACCAATCCTTCCCTTAGTTGAGCCTTTGCAACCTGGCTCCAAACTGCATCTTCTTCAACCCGGAATGCAAACTCTACAGCTCTTTCAATACTTTGAATGTTATCTAACAAGACATTGACAGCTTGAACATTCAAGTTGAACTTCTTGAAAATTGCAAATGCCTCTTCATACAGCTGTGCCTCCACAGCCACTTCACCGACGGCAGGTCCATCAAAATTATCCAGTCTGTTAATGTAGTCCATAACTCTGGAAGGATCTGCCTTGATGGCTGTCAATATAAGCAGATTTTGCAGATTAAAGTTTCCACTAAATGCAGAGTTTTGAAGGACAATCTTTTCGAGAAGTTCAATTAACTCGTGTGGCAGGTCAGCTGTCATAAAAGCCTTAACAGCAGCTGAAACTTGCTCTGGACTCTTGCTTTCTGGCAAGGCTGTTGATACAACTTGATCAATGAGCTGCCTTCTATATTCATTTTCAGGGTTAAGAACATTCTCCCAGAGATCACCATCCATCCTCTCAACCACATATCTGCATGACAGTTCGGAGTAAATCATATTGCCGATAATGCATCTAACCTAGATAAACAATTAAAATTTTCTAATATATCACTAACCTTG